AAAGCCCAGTTTGGATACCTTAGGCCACAACCCAGGCCCACGTGAGATGGCAGCCAAGGTTCCACAGCCTCATGCTGCTGGCCTTATTTTCCTCTCAGCCCATGGCTGGTCTCACATGCACCCTTAGCTATGTGTTGTCCACACACAGTTCTTGGCCCAGCAGCTCCCCCACACAAAAGAATATCGGAAAGCAAGATTTTGGAAGTGGTTATCTTTATAAGGAAACCATTCGGTCTGGTCTTTTCCTTCTAAGTGCATCATCCCCCCTACACTGCAGTGCTTTGGAATCACAAATTCTAGTGACAGCCCTCACAAAAGATCAAGACAGCAGAGTGTGCCATACACTGGCACTGAGAATTGCAATTTAAAATATCCTTTCAAGCCGGGCTAGGTGGCTCAGCTTGTAATCCCGCGCCTTTGGGAGGCTGAGGTGAGTGGATTGCCTGAGCCCACGGGTTCGAGAACCGCCTGGGCAGGCGAGACCTCATCTGTACAATAAATCAAAAAATTAGCCGGGCGTGGTAGTGCGTGCCTGTAGTTCCAGCTACGTGGAAGGCTGAGGCGGAAGGATCGCCGGAACCCAGCAGGTCAAGGCTGTGGTGGCCGGGAGCGGCCACTGCACTCCAGTCTGGGCAATGGAGTAAGACTCCAACTCAAAAAAAAGAATAAAAAATAAAAATAAATAAATAAATAAAATATCCTTTCTTAGGACTTCATGCTGCGACTTTTCTTCCCATCTCTCTCTCTCTCTCTCTCTCTCTCTCTCAACTTGTCTTGGTGTTTTTAATTTGTTATTTGGTGTAGTTCTATGTAAAGAAGAGTTAAAATTATTTATTTAAATATTTATTAGAGACAGGGAGGGTCTCACTGTGTTGCCCAGGCTGATCTTAAAGTTCTGTCTCAGCCTCCCAAACTGTTGGAATTACAGGTATGAACCACCAGGCCTGACCAGAATTAAAAATTTTAAATAATGAGTCTGAGTTTTACCATTCATCTTTCTATTGCCCAATACCAGTTTTAAATGCAAATATAAGAGAATCTAACTGGCCTGCAGAATCACCAAAATTACAGAATTCGTATTTTGTAGTTTGTGTTTGCCTATGTATTTAATTCTTACTAGACCAGCATAAATGCTACACAAAACAAATGAACTGTTTTTATTTCACTTCTTGATATGTGCACACTCCACCAACATACCTTTGACTTATTGATAGCAAAGGTAGCCCCCCCAAAAAGGAGTTATAGGTTGTCTGATCTTTGGTCTTCCTTTCTGCCATCTTTGTTAGCATAAGTGGTTGCCTAATACAGGAATAGCATGAGCAAGAAAGGATATAACAGAGTTTCTTGATTGTTTGCATTCCTTAGTTTGCCACTCCCTTATTCTGCACTTGAAGCAAGTTCTGGTCTAAAGGGAAAGTGTGGCCTCTAGGAGGGATTGGCCTCCGGCTTACTCAGTTGAAGACATAAGGTGCTTACTTTGTTCTCCCTCTGAGCCCAGCTGAACCCCACACATTGTGGGACCACTGGAATGCCAAAGCTGTAGGTGAACAAGGCAACAAGACACGGTGGCCATGCGTATTTCACCCCTCTCATGACATGCTCCGTTATCCCATCCGATTTCATTTTCTAAACACATAAAATTATTAAGAATTTCAAGACAGAGATGGCAGAGATTTAAACCAAGCCTAGGATGCCTCTGAACACGCATGGATCCCTAGGTGGCTCCCAGGCCACACATCTGTGAAGTATCCTTGCCCTGTGGCCTCCACTCCTGCCACACTGGGCCCTGCCATCCCCTGGACCCAGCATGTTCCTTCCTGCTGAAAGTCCTAAGGGATGCTGCCCGCTCTGCATGAAACACGATTCCCTTCTCATGGCTTGGTGGCTCCTGCTTTCTCTTCCTGTGACCTCAACCCACCTGTCACATCCTTAGGGAAGCCCTCCCTGCCCTACCTGACTGGGCCAGAAGGCTCTTAGTACCACATACCTTTCCTTCAATGCACGTGTCATAATCACAGTTTTTCCTTTAGGGATATGATTATTTGACTGTTTATTTCCCTCCCCCCACAGGATAGCAAGCAGCTTGTAGGCCAGGGCTGGGTCTGGTTTTGCTTACCATTGCTTCACTAATGCCCAGCACATGGTCCCTAATAAATATTTCTGAATGAATGGATGAATAAACTAATGTTTTTGCAACCTGAACACAGGTATCAGGTGAAGAGGTAGGATAAACGAGGGTGACATGAATTCTGGGTTTTGCAAAAGGGATTTAATCCAGTCTCAGTCTGAGATGGGGAAAACTAAGTGAGCCTTGGTTGACCTTGTTTACTCATCTGTCTTTTCTACTAAGTAAGGAGTACTTTAGGAAAAGGCACCCTTATGTTTTAAGGTACCCAAATTGTTAGTCTTTGTTTACTTCATGTCTCCAGACCTAGCACAGTGTGGGGACTTAGTCAGCTCTTAGCAAATATTAGTTCTATTGAACTGAATTCAGTTAGATGGAAATAAGTCATCTGGAAGTTTACTTTATCTCACCCCCCACCTTTGTAGTTTTTCTTTCCTCTCCTCTTTCTCCTTTTCCTCCCTCCTCTCCTTTTCTCTGAGTCTTGAGAACTACTTTGGTTGTGATCCAATATTTCCAACAGAAGATTACACTCATCCATTTTAGGTTTAACTTGACTCTTCAAAGAGAAATGGTCTGATTAGTCTTATAGCCACCGTGGTGATTAGGCACTACAGGGGACACCCAGAAACAGTCTGGGCACATTTGTTGGTAATAGTCTCTTGTTGGCTTTGATCTTGGGATAGAACCACAAGGCAGGAATGTCAGAAGTTCATCCATTCAACCCCAGCTAATTCAGAGCAGAAATTAAACTTGAGGATCTGATGAAACTTGTCCTCCTGCCCCAAAGGCTGTAGAACTGGCCTTGTCCAAATGGGCAGTAAGTGTGGAAATGCCCAGTGATTCTGAACAGCAGCAGCTAATGGGAACCGGCCTTCTTGTTAGAACCAGGGCTACAACCTGGCTGAATGGTCCATTATTCCACAACCACATTTGAGAAAAGGCTAGGAGGGGAGGTAGTGAAAATGGAATTTCAAAATGAAATTGAGGATTGATTAAATTAAAAAAAAAAAAAGCCTCCAGGTAAGATTGGTATTGATTGAATATCTTGGAAAACATTGTTAGTAAGAGATCGGGGCATGCTTCCTCTATATAAAATGGGGGATTTCTCTCCTGAATGAGACGAATTGAAATATAGGCTATTCCTGGAAGCCATCCATGGGGTGGTTCCCTTAGAAGCCAGGAGGCTGTTTTGGAGATGGTGTGGTGGAGTAGAAAGTACATGGACTTAGGAGTCCGCCATACCGAGTTTAATACCCAACTGTAGCCCCTTTAACTCTAATTAATTAACTGTAATCAATCTTTCTGATCCTTCTTTTTAAAAAAATTGAATACATTGGTGTACAATACTTGCCTTGCTTTGCCTTGTTATGAAAGCAGATGAGATCATCTGGGTAGAGGTGCAAAACTCAGGGTCTGGCCCAGAGTAGTCATGAATCACATTATCCCCTCTCCTCTCCTCACAGTGTAGGCTCTTGTGAACAGCTGGACAGAACCTAGGCTAGGGTGAGGCAAGCAGGCACCTGGGTTACCCTGAGCAAGGCCTCTTTCCATTGTGTGCCCTAGACCCTCACCTGCTTCTCCCTGGCCTCCACAGTGCAGCTGGATTAATGTCAGACAACGGTTGGGGCATCTCAGGCCCCAGCATCATCTCCTGGACCATCTTACAGATGGCACAGTTGAGACACAGAGGCAATATAATTTCACTTGAACTGATCAGTTAGTAAGTGGTAAACCTGGGCTCTGAGCCTGTTTTTCTCCCCAGCCAATAACCATACTCTTCCCTGCCCATACCATGTGGTGCTCACATACCCCTTTGCATTATGGATGGTCTCTGGACAGCTACACATCATCTCCCCAACAAGTCTGTAACTTTCCTCAATACAAGAAGAGGACAAGTCTCAAATTCTCAGCACTTTCCAAGACATTAACCACAGAGCTTGCTTGCAGTTGGGGTTCAATAAATTAAACATCCATTGATTGAGAAAAAAGATATTCTCATGGCCTTATCATCTGAATGCAGAAAAATACTTATAATAAACATTAACCCAGTTGAAGGGGAGAAATGCTTTAATTTCAGATGTTCAGCTCTTTAAGAATTTTGTTTTTCAGGCTCCATAGGGACTCTGCAACTCACATAGACTCACCCTCACTGTTTCAAAAGAGAAAATCTCAGCTTGGAGTGGTCTCTGTTCCCACCCGGGGAAGTGGCGGGTGGAGAGACACAATGGCGAGGTGAGGGAGGGAGGAAGAGGGAACTTGGTGGCAGCAGGGTGGGCAGGGTTTAAACCAGGAGTAGGGGAAAGAGAAGAGCAGTGCTGTCATTACATCAGTGAGCAAACAAATCACTTGGGGATCCTAGTAAAATGCAGATCTGGTTCAGGAGTTTGGGGTGGGGTCTGGGATTCTGCATTTCTAACAAGCTCCCAGGTGATGCTGATGCTGTCAGCTCGTGGACCACACTTTCAAGTAGTGAGGATGTTTTCACAGGACAAATGATTCTGAAAAGCTTTGACTGTTTACTTCTTTCCTCTGCAGTCGTTTGTCTTTTGACTGTGAGCAAATTCCCTAAACTCAAACTGGGCAAGTGGGAAACCTTCTAGGAAAATCAGCCAGTTCCCTGGCACCATGACTGTTATTTTTTCCCACCAGGCTCTATTCGATGGTTGACATTTCCATGCAGGAGATATTTCCATTTTACCCCATGAAAGGAGCATGTTGGTCTGGATCCCTGGAGGGTAATTCTGGTTTTGCAATTCTCAATGCATGGGGGAAGTTGCACAGAGGGCCTGGGGTTGCAGATCTGGTCCAACAGAAGCACCGTCTTTAGTCTGGCAGTTCTTGGGATTTCCACTCACTGTCTTCCATTCTTCTGCAGGGGAAATCTGCGCATTCAAGATCCACGGCCAGGAGCTGCCCTTCGAGGCCGTGGTGCTCAACAAGACATCGGGGGAGGGCCGGCTCCGAGCAAAGAGCCCCATCGACTGTGAGCTGCAAAAGGAGTACACGTTCATTATCCAGGCCTACGACTGTGGTGCCGGGCCCCGGGAGACGGCCTGGAAGAAGTCACACAAGTGAGTGGCCTGGCAGAGCTTCCTGGATGCCCCTAACTCCCTCATCCACACCCCTCCTTTCACACACTGATCTTCAGATATGTTTACCGCTTTGTTACACCGTGGTACCCCGGCCCTACTCAACCGCTTGCCAGTTCCTCAGTCTCCTACAGGCATACGCACAGGCTGCTTTCTACGTCTGGAATATTCTATTCCCTCTTCTTCACTTGAAAATACTCCTATTTCACCTTCAGAGCTGAGCTCAGATGTCCTTTCTTCTAGGAAGCCTTCCCTGCAGCCTTGATCAGATCCCTTCCCTGAGCTCCTATAGTGCCATGTGCTTTTCTCTGTCCCAGAACTTTTCATTGTGGCTCATCTCGGCTCTCTCTCCCTTTTGGAGTTTGGCTCAGAGCCTAACACAGAGTAAAAGAGGGTTAAATTCTTACCGAATGGAGAAGTGAATGAATAGAGGGAAGAATGAAGAGGAAACGAGTTGTCTAAAGCTGGGTTACAGGAAAGGACAGAGAATGGGATGAATTCATCTCAGGGCATTGTGAGAGCAGGTAGGGGACAGGAAGGACAGGAAGGACAGAACTACTCAACTATCCCAACTGGCTTGTGGTTTCTCCTTTTACTTGGCTTTGGGATTTTAGTGAGTGTCCCCAGGTACGGGAGGTTGGTGCGATTCCTTCCTTATTGCCATCCCTTCCTTTCTGTGTGTGGTTCCAGGGCCGTGGTCCATATCCAAGTGAAGGATGTCAATGAGTTTGCTCCCACCTTCAAAGAGCCAGCCTACAAGGCTGTTGTAACAGAGAGCAAGATCTATGACAGCATCCTGCAGGTGGAGGCTGTCGACGAGGACTGCTCCCCCCAGTACAGCCAGATCTGCAACTACGAAATCGTCACAACAGATGTGCCTTTTGCCATTGACAGAAATGGTGAGTATCCTGAGAAGACCCTAGTGGGATCAGGGAAACGAATCCACCATCCCCATTTGGGAGGTCCATTGGGGGCTCTGAATGTGCTTGGCAGATGATGCCCCCCTTGCTACCCTTGGTCTAGCATCCATAACACCCAGTTCAGTCCCATGCTTGAAAGAATGAGCCTATGTGATTAGCAGCAGGTCTAAAACACCCCAAAGAAACCTCAGAAAACTGCTTACTGAATGTAGTCTGAAAAACAGTGCCACACATCTGTATACTAAGATGGTTGGTTTCCCGGTAGAATTTTTCAATTGTCATCCAAACGTCTGCCATGCCATCACCTTGACCATATCCAGGCCCCTTTCCTATGTAGCAAGTTGTAACATCATCCCCTACCAAAATAGTCTGTGTCTTGTTTCCAGACGAAGCAATGCTAATGGAGAAGGTGGGGTTTTTGAAACACTTTCTAAACCATAGATTCATTCTGGATTTCATAAAACTCTGACCAATGACCTTTTTGAGAATTTTAACCATAGTGAGAATGAAGAATGAAAGACCCCTTCTACAACACCCCAATCCCAGACTGAACAGAACTCAAAACAGTCCTATAAAGCCAGTTGAGTATTTTCCCCTCACTATGAATAATAATAATTTTTTAAAAAACCATTGTAGTATTCATACCACAACCAGAGGCCCAGTCAACTCAACCCAGTTTGACTGTAATTTTTAATACCTTGATTATAATCAAATACTAATTATTTGTCAAGCACATTGTTTAACTACTAGTGGGAGTTCGTAAGTGTCTGTATGTACCCCCATTTGTTTCCTATAAAATTTACATACTCCACAAGGATTGCAAAAGTTGTAAAACCTGAGTTCATCCACTCTATTGACTGAGTACCAGCCATGGTGCTGAACCCTGGAAAGGAGATAGAGTAGAACTCAAAACAGATGTGGGCCTGCCCACAGGGTGCCTACTACCTAGGGGGGAAAGTAGAAAATCAGGTGGCATCAGGGTGAAGTGGGTACACAAAGCGTGCCACAAACCAGGGTTAGGCAAAAAATTAGCTCTGAGCATCCTGCTGGCCAATGTCTAGAGAGAAATAATACCACCTCCTTGCAAGCCTTCAGGAGAAACCCAGAACTTCTTGATGATGAGACCAGGCAGAAACTTACTCTATGACATCGTCTTCTGTACCCCAAGACTGCGACAGATGCCATCGAAGACGAAAGCCAAGGAGGCACCCTCAGCCCTGACTTCAAGTAACTTGAGATCTGTCTTAAAAGACAGAGCCAAATTCATAAGATGGGAAAAATAATAATAATAGATAATTTTGCCATTAAATGCTCAAATACACGGAAAAGGCAGTTACACACCTGTACATCACTAGATGCCAATTGGGCAGGGCACAATATCAGTGACAACAAAGTAAAGGAGGAAATCCAGGACTTTAATTAAATTTTGGCTCAGAACTTAAAAAGGTGATTTTAATTCATAGAGCCTGTCAGACCTGCTCCTGATAGCTTCTCCCACAGGCCCTATGAAATGGCGAGCGTGTCCCTGCCATACAGACACGCATGTGTGTGTGTGCGTGTGCAAGCATGTGTGTGTGTGCGCGCACACACACACACGCACACACACCATTCCATTAGACATAAAACGACCTATTCGCATTTTTCTCCTCTGGATTTCTATTCCCTTGTGATCAACGGTGCAGTCTCTCCCAGGAAAACTTTGGAATTTGGAGAGTGACAAGTCCATGGAGACTAACAAGACAAGACCGGTGGAGGTGTCTGCACTTGGTGGTCAAGCTCCACTTGGCCTCCTGCCCTGGTTCTGAAGAGCCACAGCTCAAGGAGAGATGAAATGCAAATTCCTTCTTCGGAGGGTAAACTGCCCCAGTCATGAAGATAATTACTCACCTTGATGAGCCATTTCGCTAACATATGCCAATTTATTTCCCTGGCTGTCTCATTAAAAGTGAGTAATGGGCCTTTGCCAGGTCTCTCTGCCTCCAACTTTGGTTTACAACATGAGATGAAGAGGAGAATGAGCATTCCCAGGGAGTGTGGGCACCCGGCAGTGAGGTGTAGAGAAGCGGTTCTACAAGTAATGAAGGCAGGACCTAGGGGCAGACACAGAAGTGACTCCCATTTAATGAGCTTCCCAATTGGCCCTTATCCATTAGTTCTCCCAGCGACCTTTCTGGCTCCTTGAAGAAGTTCTTTGCATGCACATAAGGGAAGTACTGCTGAGTTGAGGCCTATGTTTCCCTTCCTTATGGGTTTAAGAGTATGACGTCTCCCACCCCTCCAACCTGCCAGGCCCTTTGCTTGTAAGGACAGAAGGACCACAGGGAGGATGGAGGACGTGATGTGGGGTTGGCTTGACCTGTCTTTAACCAGAGACTCAGCCTCTTCCCACCAGAGGCCTTTACTTCCCTCCCTTTGAGTTTCTCCCCTGTGAAATCATGGTAGTATCAGTCCCTACCTCATTGTGGGGCTGTGAGGCTTCAAGAGAAGCAATACATTGGGGATCATTATGTTTACAGGGAAACTGGCAAACCAGGAGTGCTTGATGAATGGTGCCACAATTATTAGATATTTACCAGGATGGTTGAGGCATGAGGCTTATTCACACCTCTTGGATTTCCAGGCTGAAATTATTAGCAGGTAACTGTGAGTTGGTGACATCACCTCCCTCTTGGGACATTCTGGGTCCATTTCAAATGACCCCAACTGCTGACCCTTGGCCAGTCTCTCTGAGATAGGCAGGGCTTAGATGCCCATCTCCGTTGGACAAATGGAAACACTGAATCTTAAAGCATAAAGAACTTATTTGACAGCACTGTCACAGTGGTGGCAGAGCTCACATTGGAACTCGGGCCTCCTAGGTGTTGGCCCCAGGCCTTTCCATTAGATTGCTGTTCCTCAGTGATAACTGACAAGAATGAATGGCAATGGTATTTAAGTTTTTAAATACAAAGTATGGGGTGATGTCAGCAAGGCGGCAGAGAAGGAGATCCTAGTCTTCCTGGCTCCTCTTCCCCCAGCAAAGAACAACAATTGGACAGTGATCTATGAATGAAAATAGCTCTAGGAGAGCGCGAGTCCCATTAAAAAGATACTGCAACAAAGTGGATGAAAAAAATGAGAAAAACCACACAAAAGGGGTTAAAAGAACAATTTCATTCTGCTATACCATCTCCTTCCTCAGGCTGGCATTGCTCAGCACAGAGAGATTTCTTGGTTCATAAGTTCCTCTTGCAGAGAAAAGGAGAGTAGGATGAACATCCAGTTTCCCCAGCCTTTCAGAGTACTCCCCAAATGCCAGTTTCAGTGTCATTTCAAATAGCCGGGGTGACCAGCATAGCTATGACATCTGAAGATAGCTGGGAACAACAAATCGGTATCAACTATGGTCCCTAGTGGTCTTCTCTGCAAGGACCCCAGCAACTTTCTCCCCTGAGGACCTCATGGCCACTGCACACCCCTCACAGTTTTCACTGCCAAGGACCCCACCATGTTTGCCATCATGGACCCTGCAACTTCTACAGCTGATGAAACCAGCAGCCAGCACAGCCAAAGGGAACCCTGACAACTTTTGCTACTGAGGGCCCTACAGTTTTTCACTTTGTAGTTTCTAGGTCTTTTCCCCTCTCTCCAAAACTGCCCCAGCTGCTGCTACTGTGGACACAACCCAGGGACCCATTGTACCCACAACATGTGTGCCCCCAAAATAGCCTGGGCCCCAACTACAAGCCTTTTCCTCACTACGTTGTATGTGCCCATGGCTAGCCTTTTAGCCATGCACATCTGAGCAGCTGACCATTGGTCTAACAGCGAAGCCAGGTCTAACAGCTGAGCACACGCCAGGAACTGGCTTGTGCACCCACATGCATGCTTACTGCTAACCCTGGCCTCTGAAGCTGGACACATGCAAGTAGTGAGCTCCACTTTCATCACTGACCCCCACCACTGTGTTTGCACCCACAGCTGGCCCCTACAGCTGCATGCATGCACACCTCCAGCTTGAGCCCCATAGCCGCACACACATATGCAACTGTTCTAACCCCTGTCACTGGCCTCCACTACACATGATCACCAGTGCAACAACTTCATACATGCAAGCCACCAGGCTTGACTTCAGTAGCCACATGTGTGCACACCACCAGCCCCAGATGCCCACAGTGGGCCCTCCCTCAGTCACTGCCATTATATAAATGCCCACAGTCGAGTGTGTACACACCACAGGCCCTGGTCCTCTCTGGTGCCTGCATCAGTACCTTACTGCTGGACCCAGAGATACCACTGAGTATACCTACAGTCCTCTCAGCCACCATGGGATTTAAGTTTCCCACAGTCCTTGTCACACCAAGGAACACATAGTATCCAGTGTCACAAACTTCAACTGCCTGAACCAATCAGACACTGCACTCCACCCCCAAAGATCTTGAGCCACCACACTCCAGGCACTATGCATGATGCCACAGTGCTCTCCAACATTACCCTCACACCCCACAAGTGAAGGTCTTTCCTTACTGAAGCTAGTTCATAAAGACTGGAAGAGATAACTGCTTCTTCAAACATCCAGAACCCTACAAAAGACTACCAGGATCATGAAGGATAAGAAAAACATGACACTATCCATGGAACACAATAAACTGTCAATAAGTTACCAACCTCAAAGAATTAAAGTTGAATTACTGGCAAGGAATTCAAGCTAATTGTTCTAAAGAAACTCTGTGACCTACAAGAGAATACATATAATCTAACTAAATCAAGAAAACAATTCAAGAGCAAAAGTAGAAGAAAGAGATATAAAGCATGAAAAAAATTAAACACATTTTAGAGCTGAAGAATACAATGACAAATAAAAAATGAAATAGAGAACTTCAGCAGCAAATTCAGTCAAACAGAATAAAAATAAGCAAACTTAAAGACAGATCACTTGAAACTGACCAATCTGGGGAGAAAAAGAAGTAAAAAGGAATTAAGAAAGACTATGGAATGTA